GATTGATTGATTGATTGATTGATTGATTGATGAAACCCTTTATTGCTGTTGCAATACACCTTGTCACTAGTCACAAGTACCAGCGAAATATTGGCCATCAACCCGACCATACATATACAACACACGTAGGGGGTAGACAGGTCAGGAAGACAGGGGACTATAGGAAAACTCAGAGAAACAAGATTACGCGAGGAGAGTTGTCGTCCCAGCTAGTATATGGTGGGGTAGATGTACAAGTGTGTGTGTTTCTCTGTGGCATGCAGCTAGCTGTGAGTGATCCTGTTTGTGCAGAGCCACAGATACCTTGAAGTAGTTCTGGAGGAGGTCTTGCACAGACTGACAGGAAAGGACGTCTAAGGACAGATTATTAAATCCCTCTGTCTTGGAGGTCTGTGCTCCACAGCTGCCGAAAACCAAGAAGGAGGACAGAGATACAAAGAAACTGAATATTTCAAATATACCGAATCAGTAACATCTGGACCTTCAATAAGAACTGGATCCCTAATGCAGGTCTATCAATAGTTTAGGTGTTTGTGGCAGCAGCACGCAAGGCATTCAGACAGGTGTGTAAAACCAGTTAAACCTGCAGCGTTTACCTGGTACAGGTCTTCCGACAGCATCTCAAAGGCCAGGTTTGCCTCAACTGGGCAGAGGTACGTGGCCGTACTCTCCCTGGCCTGAACTGATATTCCCAGGTCACTCAACTGGGAAATCAAAAATGTGAGGAATTTATGGGCGTCCTAGATGACAGGAGATAAGCAGAAAATGTTTGCAATAATTCCAAAAGACAACAATCAGAATAGCTTAGTGATTCTTTATTCATGTATAGAAGAATTTTCTTACACACTGCTCGTCTTCAGTGAACTGGCCTGAAAACCTGCCCATCAAATTCCTCAATAGTTGCTTCTTCTGCTTCACCCTTGACTCAGGTGTAGTCAGAAGATCAGTGAAATGTCTGCAGATCAAGAGAGACAGAGAGTGAGAGCTGGTATCTCCATTTCCACTCATCATTATGATTATTGTGATTAGGTCAGTAACATGTGGACAATGCAAGTAAAAAATCACACGTATGGAGTTCTGTATGGGGGTGGGGATGCTCCTGCTGGGTACCTCATCAGGTCTGTAGACGGGACCAGCCCCCAGTGTTCCTTCTGCCTAGTGATGTCCTGGCAGAAGGACGTTAGGTGAAACAGGCACTGCAGGGTGGCGTTCATGAAACAGGTCTGCCCCAGGTTTGGTAGCCTGAAAGACAGAGAAAGAGATGTGCCTTAAAACCTCGCCCACCCACGTCATTGGTGCTGATTTTAACAGTCGGAAAACCCTGCCTTGGGAGGTTCACGGGAGCTTAGCACTTACCCGAGGCAGACCAGCCGCTGGCGTCCTCCCTCTGCAGCATCACCCCTGTCCTTCTTGGGGGACCTGGGAGTGGAGATGATGCAGGAGAGAAAGAGAATGAAATGATAAGCTTATCAAACATCTTAATAGAGTTAATTACAGATATACCACTGTGATCACATATACTGGTTACCTTTTCAGGAAGCTGGAAGGTCCTCCATCTGACGTGGTGTTTCCTGTCACCACCGGAGGGGACTGGTGCTCCTCTACATTACTCTGAGTAGAGGATGTTCTGGATGTCAGTGACTTGGAGGAAACAAGAACACATTCTGTTTCAGAAAGGGATACAAGGGCACCACTGAATTTTGAAATCACACTGGTAATATTTCCGATCTGTGTACCTCAGAGTCGACAGTGACTACGCACGGACTCTGGCTGTTCGTGACAGAGTTACTGTCCCCAGAGTCCATGCAGTCAGCTGACTTCTGTTCATCCTCCTCTCTGCTAAAAGCGCCAGAACCGCTACAGTGAGTAGAGAGTTCAGGCGTGAGAGAAATGACTGATAATGGTATATAGAAAACCTGGGTACTACCTCTCCTTCACTGTGCTTGCTGCGTTTTATCCATGGGAACTTGCGCACAAACTTAAACCTCCTTTTCTGGGGCTTCTTGCTAACCTCGTTGTGGACTGCCCCTTCAGCAGCGCCAGTGTCACGCTGCAGTTTACAGAAGATGAATCAGTGTAAGGAAATAAGCACTGAATACAAAGACACAGATAAAGCGTATATGCTAGAGGTCGACTGATATATCGGCCGGCCGATATATCCGGCCCATATTTGGCATTTTTTAATGTATCGGCATTGGCCGATATCCGAGTGTAGTTTGTCAATTTACAGACAGGGGCAGACATGTTATTGTTGCTGTGGAACACGTGACCCATGCTGCCTTGTGCAGAACCTGAGCTAGAAGTTTTGGAAGAGTCCTGGGAGAAAACGGTGAGGTTTAAATTCTGACCTTTCAAAGACCTATTTATTTAACTGGTTTGCTATGAAATGTTGCTTTAAAAGAAAACGCAAGTGCTTCTGAAAGAGAACACGAATTACGCTGTCGGGAACTGGTGTAATGATAATGAGCCTTCAACCAACTGTAGCTTACAGGTACAGGTAACGTTAAGGATCATTGATTGTGACAAAGTTGTGCACTTGTTGGTGGGCTCACAGACGTTTTTTAATCGTTAAAAATCATTTTAATCGTTAACATTTTAATTATTACCATATCAGCCCGATGTTATCAGTTATGTTTTTTTTCTTGTGTCGGAGAGTTTCACTCTGAGTGTGTGGGGCGGAGCAGGCAGCTCTCAAACACTGCAGCATGTGTAAGAGTTGCGTTACTCTGCCCCGATCACAGACAGCACCGTCTTCGGAGACACAGAGCTGCTAAGAACAATGCATGGCGGAGAAAACTGTTCGATAGTGTGGTTACCATTCACTTGAGCTGATGCTGAAAATGGTCCTTCTGTGCAACTTCTTTGCATTCGAGAGCGGAGATTCTAACAATTTGTCAGACGTCTAGATAAAAAGTGCACAACTTTGCGCAGTTTGTTTCCTCATTAAACATGTCTATCCTTTATACAGGCTTATCCGTTGACAACGTCACAATCACTAGGGGCTTACGTTGTCCTTGCATAAAAGGCTGTGTAATACGACAGAGTTATTTTATTTTCTGCGATCACTAGATTCTGATTGTGAATTTGGCTTGTAAGCTATCAGTCTGCTAACAACAAACATGTTAGTGAAAGGTTTTGGGCCTCTACTCATCATACCATGATGCACTTAGTTACTAGTGTTTTTTTTCTTTCAAAATGTATTATATTGTAATTTTTTAATGTGCATGGTATACTGGAATTGTAGAATGAATTGTAGATGAAGGCACTATAATAAAAATGCTAACCTTGCATTTTTTCTTTTGTTTTAGTAATTTCTGTCTGATGGCTGAACAAAAATCTAATCCTGGGAGTACTAACAACTTTCAGTGAGGGATGGGTGGGGTGAGGAAGACTCAGGGACTGGATGTGGGATTAAAACTGAAGATAACATGCACATTCCTTTATGTATTGTTTTCAAATTTTCCTTCCCTCAGAAATGAGGAGTTTGCTGCTATATTGTGCACTAAAAGAGATTCTGATGCTGCTATTTTTATTGTTTATAAGTTTAAGTTCTTGTTTACAAGTTGTGTTGTGTTTTTGTTAAGTTTATATTTAAATTTACACAAGTCAGTGTTCAATAAATGCTAATTTGAGAAATTTTGTGTATCATTTGTTATTATTAGTGTGATATTTTACCATGCAAATAGAGGGGAAAACGTCCAATTATTGGCCAAAAAAAATTGGCAGCATATATCGGCCATCGGCTGACTCCGACTCCTAAATATCAGTATCGGCTATTGAAAAACCCATACCAGTCGACCTCTAGTATATGCCATCACAAATGTCATCCTGTGTAGGCTTGGTTTATTAAAGTTCTGTTGCTCAGAATCAAGAAAAATATACAATATAGTAATAAGGCATTCGTTCTTTACAAAAAGAATTTATCACACAAGTTAAGCCAGAAGAGTCAGTGTCTCCGATTGCTGATTTTCCCAGACTGCATTTGGTCCTACAAATTGTTGTATTTCATAGGTTTGTCAACGCATTTTGAAAATTTAAGTGGAAGAAAAAAATGCCTAGGCTTCTCTTAGGCAACCAGCAAAACAATCCGCAAGACATTTTTATGCCGTGAGGTGCGCTCGTACAGCTTGACTCGTTAAGGAGTCTTCACCGGATCCCGCTCTCTGATTGGTCAAGTCAGCCTTTATGATGCAAAAATCAAGACTCAAACTAGAGGTGGGCGATAAATCGATTTTATTGATTAATTCGAATTTACAGTTCAGGACGATGTGTTTTTATGAAAATCGATTTTATTATTTATTTTACACGCGAGCGCCAAAAGCGGAACTAATGCGACGCACCGTTCTTCACGGGTAAATTAGCGCAGCGCACCCAAACACTAGCGGATTCAGAAACAAGACGGCAATGGTTCGGTTTTGCGCCGTCGGACACAAACCAAACAAGTCCTCGTTGCAAAGTCTGTTTAAAAACTGTTGCAACCAAAGGAAGCAGCATGACAAATTCATTCCAGCATCCAAAGCAGAGGCACACAGCGGAGTGGGAGAAGTGCAGCTCCCAGCGAAATGAAAATTCCCGCAGCACCAGCACAACATCCAAAGTTAAGCAAGCAACCGTCCCTGACACGTTTTCGAACTGTGTGCCATATGATGAGAATGGGGCAGGGTGGAAGGTGATAACAAACGCTGTCGCGATGTATATTGTAAAAGACATGGTGCCCATACATACTGTGGAAAAGCCGGGATTCATTAACATGCTAAAAGTTTTTACAAGTTTCTAAAAGTGTTTACAATGGTGTGGCCTGCCATCTCACTTACAAGCATCTTTTTTGGCTTGTCAGATTGCACTTTAACTCTAAAGTTAAAAAAAAAAGTTAAAACTTGTTTTTTTGTCATCTGTAGTTTGATTTTGAGTAGGGGAGGGGAAATCGATTAAAATCGAAAATCGGACTTATTGTGAAAAAAATCGGAGATTTTATTTTTAGGACATATCGCCCAGCTCTAACTGAAACAGCTCGCTACGTATGTTCACCCCCAGGAACAATTATGAAAATAAAATTGAAATGAGATATTTGTTGTTTAGTTATTACCGTTTCATAAGCATATTAGCCTGATCGGTCTTTCCAAAGGACTTCGTCAGATACCTTCATTAGCTGTCAGGGCTTCCAACTGTGGTCAGTTAGCTGGCGTGAGATTTCAATTGGAGACAAATCTGCATACACACACAAACACCATGTACAACGGTTAACAGGTAATACTACACATGACAATACAGCACAAAGACAGTACAATGCGTAGCAATTAGGGATGCAAGCAATTAATCGATTATCAATTAATCGTTGATAAGAAATTACTCGATTTAAATTAATTAATTGCAATTAATTGTATTTTGAACCCATAATTCCTTGCCAGTCCTCGTGGGGCGCACTTGACGCCAGACGTACTTGACGCACACGCGGGAACACAAGCAAACAGATAAAACAACAGATAAAAGAGAAACGGTACACAGAGGATGAAGAGGGAACCTATTCAGAGGGAAATTCAGCTTCTCAGAAAAATTGCCGCTTAGCAATTAATCGATCGATAAGATGAAACAACTATTAATGAATTACTCGATAATTTGCATCCCTAGTAGCAATCACAAAGAACTATTTACCAGGTTGGCACCAGTCCAATCTACCGCCACCCCATTGTACCTCCAGCATTACTATATATAGAATTAAGCCTTTTCCCTTCCGAGCTAATCAATGCTCAGAACACCGGTATCTCTAAGCAATTTCGACCAATCAGGTAGTGGTGACCCAGCCAGCTCAGTTTGGTCACGCTTTCAGTCCTTCTAATAAGTACGGCCATGTCAGCCCAGTTTTGCCAACTTAGCGACTTTGTCGCTAGATTTAGCGACTTTTCAGACCCCCTTGACGACTTTTTTTCAAAAAAGCGCCTAGCAACAAATCTAGCGACTTTTGGACAAACCTTAGCAATTTCCAAATGTCGCCAGTACTGTCCTGTAAGCGCGAGGTCTTGCTTTCCCGGTACAGTTACTCATCTCCCTGTGTCTGCTCTGATCAGTGAGCGCTAGCTCCAGCTGAAAGGAGCAGCATATTCCCGTGACCGCACGGCAGCTGACATAGATGTGAATGAGCTGCGCATGTGCAAACGGTGTTGCCACGGACCAATCACTTACCTGCTTCTCCTTTGCTTGAAATAAAACTATTTAATTTGACCGTTTCTTCTTATTTTTTCTTATTTATTTATTTTTTCTTCTGATGCACTTATATTTACGGAGCCCCTAAGGTGACAAGGGAGCAGAAAAAAAAACGGCAGAAGAAAAAAAAAAAAAAAAGTAATGTTTTGCGTTATAACCCAAAACTTTTGCGATATAACCCAAAACTTTTCCGTAGTAATGCAACAATAAGATCAGGTGACTATAACTTCCAAAGCCGCAGTTTGCATGATGTGGTTGATCCCAGCTTCGCTTATTAATCTAATTTAACGGTTAAAAAAACTTGAGTTCAGTGTGGTAAGATTTGATTGTTTAATTCATAATTAGTAATTTGTAAAGCAAGCCTTGGTAATGTACGTTTCAGTAACATTGCTAATTAATGCTAATCTGTTGAGGTTGATTTAAGCCTAAAGAATTGTTCGTTTTTTGTTGTTGTTTCATGTTTATAATAAATTAATATAAATCAAATGCTTTTTTCTCACATGAAGTCCATTTATTCTGCATTTTGCATGCATCCATCGATAACCATGAAGCTGCTCACAAATAAAGTTTCCTCCAAGTGCAAAAGCTGCTCACAAATAAAGTTAATTACATCACCCAAGTCGGAGTAGTTTTTCCTTTGGAATAATACCCTTTCACATAAAATCCTATTAATCTGCCTCAGACTTATGTGAACATCATGCCTAGATCCGAGAACAAACTGAATGTCCATATATTGTAGACCAAGATCAAAGTAAAATTCGATTAAATTTATAACGCAAAACATGACTTTTTTTTTTTTTTCCTGCCATTTTTTCCCCCTCCTTTGTCCCCTTAGGGGCTCCGTATATATTGGACACGTGAGGAAGGATTAGGGAAAACACGCAGAATGCAAATATGACGTAATTACATCATCAATATGCAAATATACGCATGACGTCATCTAGCGACATTTGGCGACTTTTCGAGCAGACTTTAGCTACTTTCCATTGAAAATAGTTGGCAACACTGTGTCAGCCCGGGTACGTCCGGGTAGAGCCCGCATATTTTGCGATGGAAAACTGTCAGTATGCAATTTAGGTCGGGTACAGCTCAGTCCCCGGTGGCAGTGGAAAACCACCAAAAGTTACAAGACAGAATAAGTAATTCTTCACTCAAATAACTACTGTTACACAGTGATTTTCTTTTAAATCAGACTGAAACAAATCATATACATACAGCTAGACTTATGTTAACACAGCATCAAAATTACAATGAAATGCAATGCACGAGAGGATAAGCAGGAAAACAAGTCCTTCAATGTTGGAGCCTAAGATGTAGTAAAATTAAATTAAGAATTAAACATTTAAAAAGTCATAAATAAGGGAATGTCTTTGGATGTATAAATGAGGGGGGGGGGCGTAGAGCAAGCGCCAGTGTTGCTTTGAGAAAGTGACTTACTATCAATAATTGCACAGGCCTGTTTCATGAACGCCACCCTGCAGTGCCTGTTTCACCTACCGTCCTTCTGCCAGGACATCACTAAGCAGAAGGAACACTGGGGGCTTCCAGCTGTACTCTGCGAGTTTTAGCTAAACGGCTTCCGTACACAGGTGTGATTTGCGCTCTGGGATGCGGCGGAGCACGCAAACCTGTAGCAGCAGTTAGGCGGAGACATGAACCGAGGTTTTACTTGGTCTAGCAGCGAGGTATGGTGCCTTCTTGAAATCTGGGCGGATGCGCAGATGAGGCAACAGCACATACAATTTAGATGCTCAGCGGCATAACCCAGGACGCAGGACCTTCTTCCCGAATTTTACTACCTCGCTCCCGCCAGAGACACACCTGACCAATAAGCAGAACGAACGATCTCACGTGGTTTGGAGTGGCGGGCGGTTGCTTCGCTTGGATTTCCTTGTGTGAAAGCAAACTGAACCGAAGGAGTAACGCTACAAGTTTAGAAACTAATCAACTGAGTCGTACCACGGAAGCCGAATTACAAGCGTGATAAGCCTTAATAAACTAAACCGTAATGGCCGCTTCGCTCAAAAAAACAAAGAAGCGCTGGTTACCTCCTTTGCGCTCTGACGATAATCGGGAACATGCAATTCCATCCACCAGGGGTACTCCGGACTGACCGCGAACTCCCACAAAGACCCGAAAAACTCGGCGTGTCACCAGTAACACAAAGCAGTCTATGGGGATCTTCTCAGTCCGTGGCTGCGCGGCTCGTCAAACTGACCCGTTCTTAAAACAAGGACAATCCCAACGAGACGATTTACGAAGAACGCAGAAACTACACTCTCATTCTCAAAATAATGTTCCCCGTTGAGATTCAGTCATCACTCAATCTAGCAGACCGAAAGAACTACTTTCCTCAGCCAATCTCAAAACCGCCTCTTTTCCTCTCACTAACGTTCTTCTCCCACCCACTCCCGCTCTCCCCGAAATCCCGCCCCCACGTTTCTAATTGGGTTTCCAACTCAAAGTGCCAATCAGCTCGCAATCACTGCCTGACTGACACTACAGGGCTATAGGTTTCCGGTAAATTATCGGTTTAAATCAAACTACGATTCCCGCGCCAAATCTCGGTCACGTTCAACTTCATTTAAATCGAACGAAAGGAAAAAATAACAGAACGTTACTAGGGGTTACGCGTACATGCAAGTGCGTGCGCCTGTGCGTGCAGATCTGTCTCGAATTCTCGCGTCAGCCAGCTGACCAAAGTTGGCAGCCCTGCTAAGCTACAAGGCTTGAGGTGTGACACCCTGGATCATACCGGACTCTGGTTCATTTACAGCTTCTTTCTTGTTATTGATTATTATGTGGTATAATAAGAATATACCACATGATAATGCCACATTAACAAATGACAAGAGTCATTTGTTCAGTAAGTCACGAGTTAAGATAACTAATACGATATATTGGTATATAATAACTATTAATTGTATTATGTGTGCATTTTCATTAAGTGAGATTACCAGCATATATATGTGCTCTTCTAAAGAAAGATATAGTACCCATTGAGAATGAAACAAAGGAAACAAATTGGAATGACAGTATTGAAAATAAATTCCATTAGCAAGCATGCAATGATGTGATGTCAGTTATTATATTATACCGATATTTACAAGAACAATGGCTAGGAAATGTAATACAATACAGAGTCTGTCTTAACAGTAATCTCCGGGACCGAATTAAAAAGAGTGATGCTTCGCTGAAAAAGTATCTAAGATCAAGATTAATTAACAATCATCTAGTTTTTAAAGGTTTGAGAAATAAAGCTATGATGCAACTTAGAAAGCAACCTTTTGTCACCCAAAAGTGACAACATACAGCTCAAAATCAATAGTGCTATTCACAATGGTGGCCTTGCTGATTCAACCAATTTTAACAGTTATTTTTAACATTCTGTGCAAAAATTTAGTCAGAATTTAAAAAAAAAAAATCATCCTCCCTACTCATTGGTTTGTGATGGATCTGCCTTTATTAGGACACCTGCAAATGAGATAAAGGTTGAAAGAAGCCTTTCAGCCCTGACAAACAGCAAAGCAAAAGACATGAATGGTCTTGATAAGGCTTCTAATTTAAAAAAAAAAACAAAGAATCTGTAATCTCCCCTTTAACTAAAATAATAAGTAAATCTATTAATGAGAGCATTTTTCCCAGTGCTTTGAAATATGCAGTAGTAATCCCCATATACAAAACTGGTGACAAACAGGAGGTCAGCAGTGATGTCATGAATGCAGGCGGCTCGGGCACGGGAGCGCGGCATGGTGCAGGCACGGAAAGGATGGCAGACGACCCACTTGCGGCTCAGAGACAGAAGGGGTTTATTAACTAAAACAGAAGACACTACAAAACCAAAGAAACCAAAAGGACCACGGAGGGTCAAACTCTAAAGGGAATAAACTTAGACTAAAACACAAAACCAAATACACATCAAAACACTGAAAATAGCGGAACCATCAAAGACCAACAGAACACACAACAACACAATCAATCAACAATGAACCACTAGTGAACCAAACTC